TACCTAATCTTTGTCAAATTTAACCATAATATTATATTTTGTATCGCTTCTGATTTATCTGGTCCACTCAAAACTGGCTGATAACATTGACGTTGGCTCATCACAATGATGAATATGTCAATATGATCTATATCTGCATTTTAGGTGTATTGAAAGCAAAATAATGGAAATTCATCGTCTTCTTTCTTAACCTCCTTTTCTTACAAATTGATATTTTGCCATTAAAACAGGGATCAGTCGACAGTTTTGAAATTATTATTATTATATAGTTGTGAACTGGTATCTGAATTGCAAATCAAATTTCTCTAAGAGTGTACTGATTGCTTTTGAGCAAAATTCTAGCCTACAGTGACAATTAGTTATGATGATGAATTGTGTGGGTGATTCCTTTCCTATACATATTTAAAGCCATCAAGACTTCACAAAGAAGATTAGTACCCTCTTATAACTAAAATTGAGAGTAAATTATGAACTTGGAAAGGTAAAACTTTGTCTGAGAGAGAGAGAGGTTGATTCTCCTTCACAAAAAAATATCGTACATAGGAAGTATTACTCTGATGATGATGATGGGATTCTTTTTGTTCAGAATTTAGCTAACGTCTCACATTTTTGGAAAAAAAAAATTGTGAAATCTGCCGATTGCTTCCTTATAAACTCACAAGTCCAAGTGGGAGATGAGAAAAAAACATACTTTTGGCTGGATAAATGGATCAGTGATTTCATCTTCTTTCTCAGAATTGTTCCAGCGAGTTTTACTTTCAAAGGCTTCTATCGAGTCTCTACAAATTCAAAGTGGAACATGTTAGATAAAAAAAAAACTTTTGCTTTAATAGATAAAACCCTAATCAATCTCAAGATTGTTCATGTCAAACTATTGAAATAATTAAGAAGATGCGGAACCATACATGAATCCATGGAGTAGGATGTGGTTCTTGAGTTTGTTTTAGATGTCTTCTAAATCTTGTACGTGTTATATCCTCTTTAGAGAAACCCTAATCCTTCTGAAGATGGGAAATCAAAAAGAGATTCTACGTAGAGATTTGGGAAACAACAACTCTATATATAACTGAATCAGTTATTCATAGTTATCAATTCAGCCCATTATAGAAAACAATTATATTTTGGTCTCTACACATAGGAGGCTCATACTTTAATTATGCATTAAAAGCTCAAACCCTAAATTAGATCACTTTAATGAGCTAACCTTGATTGATAGCACATAATATATATCTATTTACTATATTAGCCCATATATTGAATTTAAACCCAACAATCTCCCACTTGGGCCATATATGTTACTATATAGATATGAATTATGATATAACCTTATGAACTCATGAATTTTGCTATCAAACAAAATTTTACGAACTTGTGGAAGTTTTTGGTTCAATCCTAACAACCTCGTCTATCAGTTATACCAACATAGGATCAAAGCGATCTTAATTGCATTTGTCGTAACTAGACTCATCAATGGTCACATATATCAATACAACCAACAACACATATCAAGCATGTATGTGTAACATGAAAATTTCGTGTAGTATGATCTTAACATGTATGTTTCCAACTGGTTCACCTTAAAATGTCAAAGCATACAAAAAATTAGAGTCAATATGAACTGAATACTTTATACCGCAGTAAATATTCATATAGTAACCATAAAATCATAACAAATGTGTCTACAAATAAAAACATCTAAAATACAAACTCCTACTAAAATGACATATCCTGAAGAGATAGAACACCCATATGAGCAGTGTGCTCGTAAAAGACTTTGGGTGGTAATCCCTTAGTCAGCGGATCTGCAATCATGGAGTTTGTCCCAATATGCTCTATAGACACAAGTCCACTCTGAACTATTTCTTTAACAGCTAGAAACTTGATGTCTATATGTTTCAACTTAGTCGAACTCCTGTTGTTGTTGGAATACAACACTGCTGACTTATTGTTACAAAATAATTTAGGTGTCCTTTCAATGCCATCCACAATTCACAGCCTAGTGACAAAATTTTACAACCATATTCTATGATTAGACGCCTCATGGCATACTACAAACTCAGCTGTCATAGTGGATGAAGCTATGAGTGTAGCACTCTTCCAAGAGATAGCTCCACTAGCAAGCAAGTAGATAGCTGGAAGTAGATTTCATGCTGTCTTGGCATCCAGGAAAATCAAAGTCAGAATACCCAATGATCTTTAATTGGTCTGACCTCCGATACGTGAGCATGTATTCTTTTGTTCTCTGCAAATATCTCAAGACTCGCTTGGCTGCTTTCCAGTGATCCAATCCAGGATTACTTAAGTATATGCCCAACATTTCAACCACGTATGCAATATCTGGACGCGTACACACTTGAGCACATATTAGATTTCCTACTTATGATGCATAAGGAATCTGCCACATCTCCTTAATCTCAAAATCATTCTTGGGGCATTGATTGAGACTGAATTTATCTCTTTTAGCCACATGAGTGTCGCCTGGTTTATAATTTTGCATGCCAAACCTTTTAAGAACCTTCTTGATATAGCTCTTTTGTGATAACCCAAGTATATCCCAAGAGCGATCCCAAAATATTTGTATATCCAATAAAAAAGAGTCATCCCCAAGATCTTTCATCTCAAATTCCTTTGAGAGAAATCTATTGGTTTTGTGCAATAAGTCTATATCATTACTGGCAAGCAATATGTCATCGACATATAAAACCAAAAAAATATATGTTTACTCCCACTGAACTTGTGGTATACATAATCATCGACTATTTTCATCTCAAAACCGAATGAGATGATAACTTGAAGAAACTTATAATACCACTAACAAGAAGCTTGGTTAAGCCCATAGATAGATTTCTTTAATTTACAAACCATCTTCTTCGCATCTCCTGACACAAAGTTTTCTGGCTGCACCATATAAATTGTTTCATTAATATCGCCATTGAGAAACATAGCCTTTACATCTATCTGATGTAGCTTAATGTCAAAATGTGCCACAATTACCATTATTATCCTGAAAGAGTTTTTCGATAAAACCGGAGAGAAAGTCTCTTTATAGTCAATGTCTTATTTCTATGTAAAGTCTTTAGCAACAAGACGAGCTTTGTACCTCTCCACTTCGCCTTTCGAGTCCCTCTTGGTTTTAAATATCCATTTACAACCAATGAGATTCGCACCTTCAGGCAACGGGACAAGGTCCCAAACGCTATTATTCTTCATAGACTTTATTTCCTCATTCATGACATCAATCCACCATTGAGATTTAGAACTTTTCATGATTTGACGGAAGTTAATTGGATAATCTTCCACCATGTTAATGTTTTCCTTATATTCTTGGAGAAATATAATATAATCATTTGGAACCGTACTTCTCCTTTCTCTAGTGGATCTTCTTAATGGCACGTGTTCTTGAGGTGGTAGAGTTTATTTTTCTGGAACAATTTCTAGAATGAGAGGTTCTATGGTATTATCTTGATTTGGATCTGTTTCTTGAACAATGTCAGGAATAGAAGTATGGTCAATATTAATAGCAGCTATAGGAATATTAAAATATTCCTCTTCAAAGACCATAGTCATTTAACCTTATCCCCCCCCCCCCGAAAAAACTCAACATCCTCAAAGAATCGGGCATTTCCCGTCTTAAATATTAACTTGGAAGTAGGATCATAAAATTTGTAACCCGTGGATCTCTCAGAGTAACCAACAAAGTAGCAGTTGACTGTCCTAAAGTCCAATTTCTTTTCATGTGGCCTATAAGGCCTAGCCTCAGCTGAACATCCCTAAATGTGCAGATGCTTCAGACTAGGCCTTTTGCCCATCCAAAGTTCATAAGGGGTTTTGACCAGAATGCTTCAGTTACTTTTGTGAGTACTCTATTGAGAATGTAAGTTGTAGTCCTTAATGCTTCTCCCCAGAGAGATTCTGATAAGTTAGAATGACTAATCATACTTCTTACCATGTCCTTAAGTTTTATGTTTCGTCTTTCGGCAACCCCTCTAGGAATTTAGCAAATGGTCCCGTACGTTGTTCACCTAAACCATCATACATATCGTAATACTCATCACTACGATCAGATCTGACACTTTTGATACTTTTTTGAGGTAGTTTTTAACTTCAGCTTTGTAAGCTTTGAACATGTCCAGTGATTGGGATTTTTCATGTATGAGATAAAGGTAGCCATAACGCGAAAAATTGTCTATGAACATGATAAAATATTATTGACCATTCTAAGAAACTATAGGGAATGACCCACAAATATCTGTATGTATCAGTTCTAAGATGTTTGTAGCCCTGTTGACACCAAATCTCCTTATGTATGTTTGTTTTCCCTTTATACAATTAGTACAAATTTTAAAGTTTGTAAAATCAAGGGGGTCTAGAATCTTGTCTGACACATCTCAATTCTCTTTTTAGAGATGTGACATAATCTCTTATGTCATAACGAAGTGGAATTCTCATGAGTCAATTTTCTCTTTACACCTAGAGTGCTTAATTACAAGGCTTCATGATATGAAGCAACTGTATCAAGCAAATAAAGGTTATCAATATAAGATAAAAAAACGGGTACCAACCAAATTTAAATTCTAAAAAAGACTAAATTTACAATTTCTAAAAGAACAAAAGTAACAAAATTTATCTAATACATGAATAGAAATTAAATTCCATCTAAATGATGGTACTACATAAGTCTCTTTCAAATCCAAATAGCAATCAGACTTTAACAATAACATAAATGTCCCAATTGCCTCAACTTTAACCTTCTTGCCATCGCCCACATAGATGCATCTTTCACCATCACTTGACTTTTGGCAACTTAGACAACCATGCATAGACACATCGATGTTAGTTGTGGTAGCAGAATCTAACCACCTTGTGTGTCTAGGTACCGAAGATAAATTAACCTCAAAATAATTTTTTTTAAAAAGTGTACATTTCTTTACATGTCATGCATGATAGTTGGTACCGTTTTTCTTCTTATGTCCCGCAGCCCCACAGAAGAAACACATATCTTAATTATTTTCTTTGTATTGTTTCTTTTGTGGTTGAGCTTCTGCAGCTTCTTTATTTTTCATTCTTTTCTTCCCTTTGTCCTTAGAAGTACTAGTCAAATGAGCACTTTCTGTCTTCTCTTGCTTTAACCTTTTCTCTTCTTGCACACAATATGAGATAAGCTCATTAAGAGACCAAATCTCATTTTGGCAACTATAGCTCACTTTGAATTGACTGAATTGTGTGGGAAGAGATATAATAATAACTAAATGCACAAGCAAGTCCACAGAGAGTTCAAGTTTAAGTGCTTTCAGCTTTGATGCAGCATGAGACATCTCCATTATGTACTCCCTAATGTTCCATTTCTCCTTGTATCTCATTGAGATAAGATTTTCTAAAAGTGTACTAGTTTCAGCCTTTTCATTCTTAGCAAATCTCTTCTCAATATCCTCAAGGAACTCTTTGGTAGTAGTTATCTTCTCAGACATAGTACCCCTGAATGCTTCTGGAATGGCCATCTCCATGATCATCATACACATGAGACTTGACTTCTCCCACCTCTCCAAATCCTTTTTCTCATCAGTAAAACTTTTGTCCGTAAGAGGTGCAGGAGAAGGAAGCCTTAACGCAAGGTCGAGATTCATGACTCCGAGAACTATCATAATATTCTCTTGCTATGACTTGAAGTTGATGTCATTTAGCATAGGAATTAAATTAATGTTGGTAGTGATATTTGACGCAGAACTAATAGCTGAATCAAAGAACATTATAATAAAATAAATAAGCTCACATAAGAAAATAAATTAAAATTTACAAATTCAAAATTAGCAATACCCATCTCAAGATACCTAACACAACATTAATATTTAGTATTTGGACAGAAATATTAATTTGTAAGTGGTATTCTTGGTGTAGTGATTAAATATTGACAATAAGACATGTCAAACAATAAACCTTTCTTTGGACCGATTTATTGCTCACATGTTAAACCAAATAATTGTCACATATTTATCACCACAGATATGCATATGATTTATTTAAATATTAACATTCCTTTAGGCTGATTAATATTTGCATGAATCATACATAACACTGCTTTTTGATGTTTAAAAATAAATTGATCTACACAAGAGAGGTTACTTTAGTAACGTGTTTCAATCAATTCTTTTGATACATCATATATCTTTAATAAACTTTAATGCTGAAATTTTGAATCAACTAAATAAATAAATAACTAAATAAACTAATTCCAAACACACACGCACACACGTGTGTGTGTATATATATATATATATAATCAATTCTTCTAAATCGGATTCATAAAATTTAAAATATGATAACCCTTTTGAATCCGAAATCAAGAAGAATATATAAGATGAAGAACTACCAAATTTTGTTCTCAAATTAAACAATTAAAAAAAGGATTTTTAGATTTGAGAACATACAAGAGAATCACATCAGAAATTAAAATTTATTCTCAATAGATTAACATGAACACAGCTCTGATACCAATTGTTAGATAAAAAAACTTTTGCTTTAATAGATAAAACCCTAATCAATCCCAAGATTGTTCATGTCAAACTATTGAAATAATTAAGAAGATGCGGAGCCATACCTGAATCCGAGTATGATGTGATTCTTGAGTTTTTTTAGATGCAGATCTTCCAAATCTTGTACGTGTTATATCCTCTTTAGAGAAACCCTAATCCTTCTGAAGATGAAAAATCAGAAAGAGATTCTACGTAGAGATTTGGAGAACCACAACCCTATTTATAACTGAATCAGTTATTCATAGTTATCAATTTAGTCCATCATAGAATTAACAACTATATTTTGGTCTTTACACATAGGAGGCTCATACTTTAATTATGCATTAAAATCTCAAACTCTAAATTAGCTCACTTTAATAGGCTAACCTTGATTGATAACACATAATACATATTTATTTAATATATTGACCTATATATTGAATTTAAACCCAAAGAACAAGTTGGAGATAGCACGTTCAATTTTCTAGACAGTTAACTGGGCATTTAATGTTCCAATACTTGGAATTACTAAATATGTTGAAGCAAGTAGAAATAGTTGGAAGTCCTGATAAAAGAAGTTGGATGCTGAAAGCCAAAAGAGGTTTTTTTTTAAACAATATATTTATATCAGTTTTTGATAGATGGAGGGCTTAGGTACAATTTACTGATATTTGGAGAGCGATCGCCCCTTTGAAAGTTAAGTTTCTGTTTTGGCCTTTGAACATAAAGGATAGATTGTTAAAGAAGAATGTTTAGACTGACCCTTTATGTGTGCTATGTGGTAGAGTAAGCGCATCTCATGAACATTTATTCCTTGAATATGGTTGTTCAAAATCTGTGTAGAACTCTCTCTGTCGCAAGCTTAAGCTGTGCGATATCCCTCATGATCTTCCAACATTTGGAACTCCTGGAGACATTCAAAAGTGAAAGGTGATATAAAGAAAAGTTAGGGCGTTCATTTACTGGTTTCGATATGGAATGTTTGGAGTGAAAGAAAGAGATCGATTTGTTATAGGGACCCAAAATATGAGACCAATAGGGAGGACAGCTGAGGTGTCCCCCTCCTATTACATAATGAGCTGACCATCGTTAATGATGTCCAGCTCATTATGCAATAGGAGCGGGACACCTCACCTGTCCCCTCTGTTGATCCCATATTTTGGGTTATTAGGAAATTTTTCGTGAAAAGAAATAGTAATATTCACACACAAAAGCGCGCGCACATCAAATCTGAAAAAAATCGCTTATTTCACTTCATTTTGGTTAAGCAAAACTTTCCCCTACAGCTAATAATATAACAGGACATGGTGCTGATAAGATGATGGATCTTGTGATGGGGTCGTCTAGAATATAAGCGGTTGTGGTGGCAGGAGGAGGGGTTGATCATCCCTTAACTATTGACTAAAAATGTTATAATTTGGATCTTTAATTGCTACAATAGTTGTTTACTGTTTTGAGAAGACAATGCTTGGTTGTAATGTTTCATGTACGCAACACACTGTGTTTGGAGTGCAATATTATAGGATTCGGGGTGTGCTCCAGAAACTGTAACCAATCCTTTTGGATGGTAATGTAGCGGCGGGGCCCTCATGTGTTGAGATCTCATCCTTTTTCTTAATAATAATAATAATAATAATAATAATAATAAAAAAGATGAAGAGATGTTTCGAATTAGCTTTAGCGTTTTGCGACATTATGTAACCCAACCATGTACCGAAAATCTACCCAGCTCCAGTCCCGTTCTTCAAAAATATCAAATCATTTCCAATCATGAGCCAGATTTAAAATAGTAACTTCAAATAATGACATAGGAAAAACAAAACTACGAGTTGTCTCAGGAGTAAACTTTACAATAAATAAATAAATAAATAATAAAAATAAAAAGACTGATAAAAAGTTCCAAAAGACCTAACTGTGAGTCTGTGACGTGGTAGGAGCCCCCTTCTTTTTTTTTTTTGAGACAAATAGTAGCAGCCCATTTGTCGAACACTAATAAGCTGAGCACATAAACAAACAAAGCAATCAATCAAACAATATCATTATCTCTCTCTAGAAAACAAAACAATGCACACCTCCCACAAATTAATTAAAGCCTCTAATCAAAGCTAAACCTTTCATGGCCGTAAACGAGCTTATCCTGAGTATGTCTCATTACTTGCTCTAAAATGATAATATATACTGTTGTAAAAAGTATTTTATTAATTATGCAACTATAGAAAAGAATCAAGTTGTAACAAAAAAGCCTAATCGCAGCGATAACTATGACTTTGAATAAATGTAATTAAGATCGAAGTTTCTTAATTTGTTAAGTACATAGCAGACCTACGCGATTCTCTTCTAAAAGTTTTCTAAAGGTCTTCTTTCCTATAAATAATCCACTATAGAAAAATATATAGGAAGAGGAATGCACCGCATGTTTCAGTATAGAATTCAATATTGGTAATTATACAAAGATGTTTTGATCATATTGATGCAATGCTTGTGATTATACTAGTACAGTATTTTAATAAGAATAATTAGTATGTTTAGTACTGAGCATTAAAGTTGATGTTTGTTAGTAATGTTGTCACTTTTCATCCACTCATTTAATGAATATGTAATCAAGTGATTTTATAATACCAACTTGTACTTGTGTATCAATTTTATGCTGAAAATCAAACATACCCGTTATTCATAGAGGACCCCAGGGAGTTTTTTCCCCCTCTTTCTTGCTGCCATTGTCGGCAGGGATGTATTGTGGTCAGTGACAAAAGTGGGCCACCACAAACACCAACCGCTCACAGTGCAAGTCCACAGTATGTGGGCAAATTGGGCCAGACAAAAAAATTTGACCCGTGACCCCCAATCTTTTGCGGACTTTCATCGTAGATTTGGTTTTGGGGTGTCGATTCGGTTCGGTTCCCCCCCTCCTCGCCTCACCTAACCATATGTCTGTTGATTTGTTCTCTTCCCCCTTTTGTTTCTTTCCCTCTTTCTCTCTTTCACCTTTTCTTTCATTAATTGTTTTTGAAACTGAGAAACAGGGTGAGGTACCCTGTTCATTTTAGATATAATTTTAGGAAAGATAGGAAGAATATACATACTACTCTGAAGATGGAGGAAGAAGCCGAGGAAGAAGTGGCCAGGGCCGCGACCAATTATGTCGTCACCTACCACCCACATCGCTCCCCCCCCATCCCTAACATCTAAAGAAAACAAAAACAAAACCAACAAAAGACATCGTTTACAACCAAGAAACTGACAGCAACATTACTGATAACAGACTGAAGAGGCTAGGCACAGCTAGCTACCACCAAAAAAAAGAAAAAGATGAAAAACGAGAGAACCTAAGTGACAAAAACTCTTCCTTATGCCGCTGGGAACTAGGCTTCTAACTGCTAGAAGGATTATCTCCCGCGACCCCTGAAGGAGGCTTCTTCGCCATTTCCTGGAGACCGAGATTGAGGGCTGCCCTTCGCAGCCTCCTAGCCGTCCTATCATCACCATCACCTGTCCAGAAAATTGAGTATCTCGCAATATTAGTTGCGACAGATAACGAGTTGGGAATATCATCTTTAAAAATTAGAGAGTTTCTAGTGAACCATATCCACCAACAGAAACATGGCAACAGGATCTTCCAAAAAGTTTTAACATTCGAGCAAGTGTTGGGAACTTTGTAGAGCAGCAGCAGTTCCTCCATGTTTGAGGGCCAACGGTTAGCTGGGAAAAGAGGAAGAAGGAGTTTCCAAACTTTACGGGCGAAGGAACAGTGGATAAAAATATGATCATGAGACTCTGTCTCCTTGAGACAAAAAGGACATCTAATGTCTCCGTTCCAACCTTTTTTGCTCAAGTTGTCTTTGGTGTTGAGTTTCCTTTTCGAAATGATCCAGAGGAGAATTTTTACCTTGAGAGGGATGCTGGATTTCCAGATCAAATTTGAGAACTGGGATTTTAGCCCCCCTGAAGAAATGAACGAATAAAAGGATTTAACTGTATAGACTCCCGAAGAATGAAGAGGCCACCAAATAGCATCCTGCTCTGATGAGCCACCAGGAAAATGGTGCTCAAGGAATGCTTGAAGATCGGAAACATCTGCTCTCTCTCTGGGGGAGGATCCCCTACGGATAATTGGGTGCCAGACCCATGATCCATTGGCCCATCTTCCTTGCTTGTCAAGGCTGCAGTTGCTCGAGAAGGCAAGATTGTGAGCATAGGGGAATAGACTGCTAAGAGAGTTAGCAGATGCCCATTTGTCATGCCAGAATCTAATCGAGGCACCATTCCCCACTTTCCATCTGACCAAGCTAAAGAAAATGTGATGAGATGCAAGCAGATCCTGGAAAAGTCTTGAGTGTGATATCTTCGGCTGATTGGCAAAAGGGTTAGCTCCATGTTTGGAATATATGGAGAAGAAAACTTCACTAATTAAGGATGATCTGTCAGAAATTTTCCAAATCCATTTGGAGAGGAGGGCAGAGTTAAAGGTGGGGATATCAATTACCCCAAGTCCTCCTTCCACTTTGGATTTGCATACTGTTCCCCAGTTAACTAGGCATTTTGGTCTTGAGAGGCTGTGGCTACCATTCCAAAGGAAATTTCTTCTGATTTTATCAATGGATTTAGAAACCCAAATTGGCAACTTGAAAAAAGAAACTCACTATGGACTATATATAACGAATTAAATTAATCCTAAGATAAAATAAGTCCCCAATCCAAACATGGCCATAGTATACAATTTATTAATTTATTAGTAAAATTGCATACGTACTCCCATGAAATAAATTTCTGAATCCGTTCCTGATCAGAATCATGCTTCGAGTCTCCCTGGTGCCGAATCTTATCTTATAAGAACTTGCATTAATTTCATAAAAGAGTTTTTTTTTTCCCTCACATATATACTTTTGTTCTCTGTTACACTACTACATCATGGACTAGTTGTTAAATTCCACATATGCCACGGTACACAGTTGAGCTAGCTTTCACATTTTCTTCTTAATCTTCTCCAAGTACTGGTAATTCCTCTGATACTGCACAACACCCCAAACCAAATGCCTCAACGATATCTCCGGCCAAAGACACCGCGGGCAATACAACAAACAATGCGTCGTCTGCCATAAAAGGAAATTGCTCAGCCGAGTCTCTCCTGAAGTCCTCACCAAAATATCCGGATCCGGACACCCTGCGTAATACATGTTCTTCTCCAAATCCTCCACCGATATCGATGCATCGCCATCAATTTTCTCAGTCACCGCCCCCTTAACTCCGTGAACGATCTCATCTGTCGAAGTATACGCCAAACAAATCAACAGCACCATCTTTGTATTCTTCGCCGTTGCATCCATGACTCCCTGTATCGCTTCCCTTGTTGGCTCATCCAGCGTGTCCAACTTCCCTAGTGTTGAAATAAAAGAAAGAGAAAAGAGTTCGTTAATTGGTTATGAACAACATGAATACACCTCACATTGTATATACGGGTTATGGAATATCAATAAAAGGAAAACTATAATGTTCCCTTTCAAGCTTAACAAGGGTAGAGGTTAGTAAAGCTCATCGATCTTGTCCGGAAATTAAAGACAACAATCTACTGCTCGCGTACCTCATTCATATCAGCATGCAAGTGAGATTGAAATGAACCTGATCATATGAAAAAGTAGTAGAGGCAAAAACAAATCCAAGAACAAGAAGTTTTACGAATGATCGAGTAGGGCTGGAATTGAATTACCCGAATATGTATCGGATACTGAGACATTTGTAGTTGCATTCGTTTAACGTTTTTGGATTCGAATATGAATTCGAATATCATTCTCTGATTTTCTTCGAATTCGAATTCGAATACCGATATTTGCTGAATATTCACGAATGCTTATCAAATATTTACGTATATTTATTTGATTAATAATTTATGTTTTATGAATATTAACTTAAGTAGGTAGATGCTTTTATTTGATTAAAGCAGTATTTTCATTGTTCTAAGAATTTGATATTTTAGATAACATTTAAATTTATAATTGAAATTCATTCCTTCATATCTATGATACCTAAATCTGTAATGTGAAAATTTGGTCAAAACAATGGATTTGGGCTTGTTAAGCCTCTCAAAATTAGTAGGCAACCAAATTAAAAAATTTAGGTGGGCCAAGAACATAACATCACATGCTTAATTAATACAAGTTATTAGTAAACAAAATTTTATCTAATAGTTTATTAAACAAACAAATTAAATATATCTATGGTTAAATTTTATTCATTTATGAATCGAATACTAAAAACAAAATTTTTAATATTAAACGAACAATCAAATCGATTATGACAGAATAGTAAAAAAAGACAATAATAAAAGACACGGAAACAAGTGGTAACATGTCAGCAATAAAAGGTAAGGAAAAACAATAATAAAAAAAAGACACGGAAACAAGTGGTAACATGTCAGCAATAAAAGGTAAGGAAAAACAATAATAAAAAAAAGACACGGAAACAAGTGGTAACATGTCAGCAATAAAAGGTAAGGAAAAACAATAATAAAAAAAAGACACGGAAACAAGTGGTAACATGTCAGAAGACCTTCTAATACCTAGGAACTCGACACGGACGCCGAGCTCGTCGACGATGCCACTATTGTGGCTCATCGCCTCGGCTTTGTCGCGGATGAGGCCCATGAGGATTTGGACTTCGGTGGGCCGGCGTTTGAAGTTGTCGATACTGAAGCCGTAGAAGGATACGTATTGTATGCCCATCTCGTAGCAGTACTTGAGGGTGGTCAGGAGGCTTAGGAAGCCGAGGCGGTGGGGCATCGGGCCGACGGAGAGGACCTGGAAGAGGAGGCGGCGGAGGGAGCTGCGGACGCCGTCCAAGAGGGTCGTCGGGATGAGGGTAGTGCTTGTTTTAGCGTCCATGATTTAACCTTGGAGAGAGGTTTAAGTGCCAGCTTAATTAGGTCAGGATCAGTACGTTTTAAAAAATTGTATAAGATGAAGAGGGAGACTATATGAACAAATCTCTATTTGACTTATCACGGAAAAAAAAAAGGTTAAATTAATTGCGGATAAAATTATGGTGAGCTATTGAGAGGTTTGCATAAAACTACTACATATACTTATTTGATAAGTTCAGAAGACGAACAATCCGAGTAATGTGTTACAATTCCGACTATATATTATTAAAGAAATGGTATAAATGTTGTACTTCGAACAATATACAATCAACGTACATTTACCTTCTAGTTTGAATAAATCGCTAGTTACTCTGAGTGCCGAACACAGTAGATGTGCGCCCCAAAAAGAAAACTCATTAGAGATAACCAACTTAACTTCTTACTACTCGGAAAAGTATGAACGTTAAGTCTTTATATAATTTTTAATTTGAAACTTAATTTTGGTTAAGGGAGAAGAAAAGCACCGTAAGCATGGGCCTAAAAGGCTGAAAGTAAGCCCAGTTACTCGGGTTTGTTACTGAGGCGATGCTCTTTGCGTGAATCCTCCCGGAGTCCGGAACGGCCATAACTCAAGGAGCGGTTCGCTTCCATGGATTTTCACGTGTCGAGGCTCTCTCTTTCTCTGCTACTGCTTCCTTTATTCCTTTTCTTTCGGGGTTGTTTGTTTAGTTTAGTTTTAAGTATAAAAGTTAAAAACGTTTTCTTCACTGTTATGTTGATATTTGTTGGGCGCAAAGTCACGTCCTCACGCTGCTGAAGCGATATAACCTGAGAGAAAACCCTGTCTTTTATTTTCACAAAAGCTCAAGCCAACATCTATATTCCCGTTTCACAAAAGAAACAAGAATAAAAAGTAAAATATCTCAACAAAGTGAAATATACACTCTTCCTCTCATCAGTTCTAGGACTGATTTGTCGAGGGAACCTACAAGCAATAGTCAATACCCAGAAAATAGTAAAGACACGAGATTTACGTGGTTCAGCAAACTTGTCTATGTTCACGGGAGGGGTGAGGGGAGATTCCACTATGAGGAGAATACCGACGACTTGTACAATCCACAATCTTGTCTTAAAAGAAGATTTGATTTTTACTCAAAAGAAATTAACCTCTCTTGTAAAATCTCTCCTCTAGATCTCAGATCTAGATCTAAAAAACTCTCCTTTTGATAGCCGCAAAAAACCCTTCTATTTTCTCCTCTGCAGCCGAAAAACCCCCCTTGTATTCTTCTCCCACACACGAAACCCTAGAAGAAGTCGAATATTTATACGCGCCCGACTTCGGCACTTCAGCAATTGCCTTTGTGTGTCTCGCTGTACATGTGTAGGTTGTCTAAAAAACACTATAGATAGTTGATCCCTCATCAAACACCGATGATGAAAATTACAATTTGATGGCTTCCAGAAGGCTACAATTTGAAGACTTTCAGTAGATCAATGAAGGTTACAATCTGACGACATTCGCAACAACTAATGAAAGCTCTAATCAACAACATTCACAATCAACATCGGGAGTTACAATCCGACGACTCTCATATTTTCAAGGAGCTAAGAAAAAGATTACAAGATGATGATCATTACAACGCTCTAACAAAAGATACCACAAATTGATGGTCTCTTCACATCAAAACGCAGAGGTCAAACCTGCGTTTCAACATCAAAGGTCCTCCCTGCATTGCAACATCAAAACGCAGAGGTCCTCCCTACGTTGCAACATCCAAACGCAGACTTCATTGCTGCGTTTTCAGCCCAAAACGCAGAACCCAACTCTACATTCCAGATCCAAACGCAGAGTTCATTCCTGCGTCTCCAACTTTTAAAGCGGTACGACCACTACGTTCTGAGCCAACTGGAAATGCCCAACTCTACGATTCAGGTCTAAAACGCAGAGTTCGGGCCCAGAACGTCATTTTTAGCATTTGACTCGTTCAAACACGAGTTGAATGGTTCCAGAAACCGTTTTGTCCCTACTATTTGAGGGGATCATCACCCTATCATGGAGAGATTTATGGGAGACGGTTACACCCCATTAAACCCTCATTAAGGAGAGATTTAAGGGGATGGTTACACCCCTTAATCCCTTATAAATCACAGAAAACTCAACTGAGTTAGAGGCTGGCTTTTTGCGATCTTTGGATCTTTGAGTATTTTCGGATCTAGAGATCAGCAAAGGGGATCACCAATTCATCCTCTTTGCGCGTCCATATATAAAATTAGGGGTGCATTCGGTCCGAATAAGGCTTGGATATGATGCTTACCATATCCATATCTGCATACTCATTTCAGATACGAATACAGATATGGATATACCTCGGTAAAGAAAATTTATATCTATATCCGCTAAAATCGGATACATATATAGATATAAATGCGGATATGTATGCTGATATAAAATGGATATGAGAAAACTAGATACTATTGAAAAAAAATAGTTCATGTGATGCAAAAGAGTTCATTGATATGTTAATTATATCTGGAAATCTAAGATTAGATATATTGATCGTTAAAATTAACCTCATATCCTTAATAAAGACTAAAATTATTTTAACAATAACACTAATATGCATTCAGATATTTGGGATACAGTTCCAGATATTTCACTACAAAACCATATCAGTAACTGTATCTTATCAGTTATATATTTGAGTAACCACATCCGTATCTGTAACAGATATTTTCTCGGATATAGATATGGTTTAGCACCACTACGTAGAATACATGATCCCACGTCTTTTGCCAACAATAAATTACTAGTGCAACATTGCATATATAGTACAAGCTGATCAAATTTAGCTTTGACTACCTAGTTAGCATGTGACAAGAGTAATATGAGAATACCTTTATACAAATAATTTGTTGAAAATTATATATTCGTGGTTGTTTTTCATTAGGATTACAAAAAGATGTGCTTATTTATACTATGATCTCCTTCTGAAGCAAACAAAAGGGGCAGTGAAATTGGACTCAAACAATACAATAAATCAATAATCCCATTGAGGGTAAGATGGCCAAAATTTACGTACCCTGCTCTAGATCCTCTCTAATGATAGGAGGTGTGGGGGAAAAAATTATAGGATGGGCTTCTTATTCTAGTGTTTACAACAAAGAGAAATATCTTTTAGCGTGACCGGCTTGAACAAGGTGGTAATGTAATAATAACACGATGCCTCCTTTAAAGTATTTTCGCATATAATTTTTAGCTTGGATGTGATCAAGACCTAGACTTTGTTTTAGTAATGCAATGATAGTTCATTAAAATATTCTGTTCACTAGATGTCTAGTGTGATTAAAGCAACCAATGTGGTTATAACTAAATGAGATGCTTGGCAGCCAATTTATTTGATTAAGGTGCGTGTAATGAATCATGTTATGTAATGAAAATCATGGCTATGTGTTGATGTCAATCAGTTAATTAGGAAAATAATGGTGATTTTGGAGGAGTATAGGGTCTTTTTATCTTCTTCAATTGCCGATTAGCCACAAACAAAAATTCCTGCATAAAGTAACACCATTAGAGGATTAGAGTTGAGCTCTCTAATGGGCCCTCCGACGCTTGAGTCGGTTACTGATTAACTGGTGTATATACTGAATTTAGTTTTTGAGTATTCTATAGCTAAGATTGTTCGTACCTTCATGCAGAAGAAATCAACCCCATTTATAGGAAGCAAAGGAGGACTTTTTGGTAATTTGACCTGGTCGGTGCGGGTATTTGATCAGATAGTTCTTTATAGGTGTTGATCATAGAGCAAGCGAGTCATCCTCGCATTTAATGCAACAATGATAGGGTGGCTGAAGTACTGACATCTTCAGAGGACTCATTATGACTTCGACAGGGGAGTCATAATGACCCTGGCCATGCATTAAATGTGTTGGCGACTGGGCTACATAGCTAAGTACGATGAAGCTGATAGGTCAATTTGTCATTCAAGACATTCAGCAGTGAAGTCGAGTGAGTGATGCCATTCATCTCGGAATTGTGAGCGGACGTGGGTCCCCACCCACGTGATGATGCGTATGAAGAGAACAAAACCGACTCAAAGTCGGTTTTGATGTTTCCGCGTGAAGCCGGCCCACGAACCAAAGCCTCCCTATATAAACAATATTTTATTAGGGTTTTAGGTAGGCATTGAGGGCTTGAGTGCGGGAGAACAAAAAGCAAGTGCAGGAGGAATTTTGCGGCTGCGGCTTCGTGCAAACAAGAAAAGTTGACAAAGCAGGCACGGGGCTTTGGTGAAAACGCAGAGCAAAGAGGAGTTTTATGTGCAGGCTTTTGTACTTTTGTAGAGAGTTATTGTGAGGGATTTGAGAGTTTGTTTGAGGGTTTAGATTGTGAGTGATTGTAAACCCTAGTTGTAATCTCTCCCTCTATTAGTAGATCTTCCCCCTCCTTGCCCCGTGGACGTAGGCAATTTGCCGAACCACGTAAAATTGGTTGTCTTGCCTTTTGTGTGATTTGTAATAGCTTTTAGGGTCCCTCGACGCGCAGTCCTAGAGCTGACGAGAGGAAGAGCTAATATCCTACTTTGATAGGATATAGGCTTCAGATTCTTGTTCCCTTTGAGAAACAAGAATTCTTATTGCGATCTGACTCTCTTGTTGTGCTGCCGAAGTGCTGCCGAAATTTCCGCTGCGCGCAACAAGTGGTATCAGAGCCCAGATTTCAGATCTAGGGTTTTTTGGTGGAGGAAGATTCTTGTGTGAAGCTTAGTTCTTGGAGTTCTCGGCTTCGGTGGAGATAGCATTAGGAGTTGCCGTTGGAGATTTCGCTTTCCTCGTGTGGATAGGAGATCTATTTGGAATCCGATCTAGGGTTCAGTTGGGTGGTTCCTAATTCTATCAAATTTGTTCTTTCTCTACAATTTGGAGTTAGTTCGCAATGGGAGAAGAAGGTGAAAGCAGCAAATCGATGGCGGGTACAATACAAGTTGGTTTTCAAAACACCAAAATTAGTGTGGTGAAATATGACGGAAAAATCAACTTTGGTTTGTGGATGAGCGACGTACAGGATGCGCTCAATGCTCAGAATTTGGAAGAGACCATCATGGTCCATGAGAGGCCACCTAAATATGATGAGGCGGTATGGGAGAAAATGAATAGGAACGCTTGTGGGGTGATCAGGTCCTGTTTGGAACAGGAGCTGAAGTATGATGTGATTGGGGTGACGTCTGCGATGAAGATGTGGGAAATTCTCAACAATAAGTACCTTACGAAGAGTGTTGAGAACCGATTGCACTTGCTGCGTAGGTTATTCAGATTCCAGATGTCCAGAGGCACCTCGCTTGCGGCTCATGTGAACAACTATACGAAGTTGTTGTCGGACTTGGCGAATGTTGATGAGAAGATATCGGATGAGTACAAGGCGATTATTTTGTTGGGCTCCTTACCGGATG